GATAGAAGGGAAAGTAGGGGGGAAAAAACACAGAAGCAGCATGTTTGGGTCCTGGCTCAGTGCCATGCATCAGTTAGGAGCTCTGGGGACTGGGTCACAGTGGGGGTTCACAGGAGGGAAGTAAACAGGCCAGTCTATACACATTTACACCTGCAAAAACACGTGCAACTGCAAAGATGCAAACAGACACAAGTTGATATCTGTACCAAGCCCAATACTTGGAATAAGACATACACTCAATACTTTGTCCCTCCTGCTATTTACAGTTTCCAATTATAATCTATCAAAGATTAAGGACCAATTTTGTTTGAGTTGAACAAAAAAATCTTCAGTGTTTATGTACTGAAATGTCATTAATTGCACACTTCAAAGAGTTTCATATAAAGACATTTTCATATTTCAGGACCCAGATATTGAAAGAAAATGCTTTTTGCAGTGTATTTTACGTGTGACTCATCTCTTGGTAATCCTTCCGGCACTCCCTCTGCTTTCTTTTTTTTCTCCCTAAGGTGAACGACCCTGAAAACATGACGGAAGCTTCTGTTTTCTGTGAAACGCCCACAATGACTCACCGGAAGGGAAGCAGGATGAGCCATCTTGAAGGAGATATACCATCAAGACTAGATTTCCCAGTAAAATATGAAAGTGGTTCAAATGAAGCCACTGAGGTGTTTCTTATTTACTGAAAAACAGTGGTGTGAAGAATTTAATTCTTTCTTTCATTGAGAAAAGTATTTTGTAAGTCAGTTACAAAACATGATACCAGCAAATGGCTGTACATAAGAATTTCATTTTAGTAGTGTCTCTGATGCTGGGTGAACTAGATTTTTTTTATATTTAAATTCCAAGTTTTGAATAGCAGCAGACTACAAAAGCACAATTGTGTCAGGGCTGAATGTGCAAAAGAGAATGAGCGATCTCATTTCAAAGGGACAACCAGTAACACCAGCCTCTCCAGTTGACCAAGAGCAGGTTTGCCACCTGTCACCGTAATAAGTTGCTCACACCTTGTAATTTTACAGGCACAGTTATTTTTCTGATTCTCTTGAAATCTGGCTTTTTTCATCAACTTCCACTTGAGGCAAGTGATTAAACATTAGCTAAAAATCTACTTCAAATATTTGTACTTCAAGGTCTTCCTAAATACCAAACTCAATAATACTGCGTGTTGTGCAACCTGAAGTAGGACACTTAAAAACTGAACATCCTGACACCTGATGGCCGCACTGATAAGAGACAGACATAACAACTTATGTCTGACTATAAATATTGGAACAAAAACCTTGATTTTGTCCATAATAACAATTTTTCTGAAAAACCTGAACTAATCTTTGCATGTGACATGAATCCTGGTGGAGCAGAGTGTTGGTGCTGCTACAGAGTAGCAACAAAACAGCCAGTAGTGAGTTATTCTTGCTCCTGGACAGTTGTTTGCTACTACGGAAGTGTGAGGCTGGGCTTTCCTTGTTGAAAGACACGTAGTGTGATGGTTCATTGTGCTTCAAGGAATCACTGAGCTCTGATTAGATCTGAAAGGCTCAGAGAGCGAAGAAAAAAAAAAACAAAAAAAAAACGCATGGTTGAGCATGACCATGTCATCTTGACATCTGTGATTTGCACACTCTCCTTTAATAAAGGCCTGAAGGAACATGCTGAAAATAGGTGTTTTACAGTCTATTTATTCTTATTATTTCACACTTGACTACATTATAAAATCACTTTTGAAACTGTGAAGCACAAAGAGCACAGTGTTTCGTGATCAAATGGTCACTGAGGCTCCTCTACGCCTACACACAACACAGACTTTGTGTACGTCAATTGTTATTATCTTAATACCGCTATGCATACAATAATTCCCATAAGGATAATATCATTCTTAAACAGGCACTGTGAATTTTTACCACAGCGTCCAAAAACGGGCTGACTCTGCTCATACTACCAGCTGAATGCCTGAGTTTGCACTCACTGGACGGCTCCGTTTCCACTGTGGCTTCAGAAAAAGCACCTGGGGCTCCCCACATCGTGGCAGATGGAGGAGCAACCACACACCCACTCAGGGCTGGAGGCTCCGCTCTGTGGGGCCAACCATAACAATAACCCTTGGGCTGGTCAGCGCTCGTATGCTGCTCTGCTTTCCATGAATTTGCAATGTTGAATCCAAGGTTTTCCGTGGTCATGGCCAATGAACCCTCTGTTCACAACTGCACTACCCTCTATTAATTTACAGAGAATGATTTAGTGTGAGGTCAGCATTAATAAGGCACAGAGGTGTCATAATTGGATATCTATGTGGAGACAATATTTCTATTGAATAACATTGTTTATGGATAATACCATAAAGGAACATATGAGAGATTTTAGCCAATTTTCTACACATCACAAATGCTTAATAATTACTGCAAACCATTTTTTAAAGTATATCCTAAAACAGCTGCTGCTTTCGATTCAACTCAATACAGTATGATAATGACCTCACAAAGACCTGACTTATATAACAGCCCAGTAATACAACATAACTGTGATGTACAGTAGTTAATGGGCTCAAACTTGCAAAACCATTTAAAATATTTCCAACTTTGAGGATACACACACATTGAGCTGTAGGCCAGTGTGTGACTCAGTGTTAAGCAAACATTAACTGTTATACATCTTTTATTTTCAATCACTGTTTGTCTTGTGCTTAGTCTCCTTTGAGATGTTCACGTCTCAATCAAACTACAATTCAGAAGCAAGTGACAGAGTTCTTCCTCCCTCTAGTGGACATGTGCTGGCAGTGCCACTTTCTGTGCTGACATTAATCCTGAGCAGGAGCACATGAATAACTTACTGGTCACGATTACCTCTTTCAATCAAAGTAATCCACTGGCTTACTGAAACACGAAGGGGACTGATTTGTAGAGATTTTCAGATTACAAACTATTACCCCGCTCTCTACAGTCATCATTAATATTAACAAATACATTTTGTAGAAATATTTGTGTCCCATGACTGCTGGATGTTTCAGGCTTTTAAACACGATTCAGTAATCCGAATTTAAAATTCCATGTATCAAATGGATATTTAATCTGATAACTGTTCATTTTGTGAAAATAAATACACTTCCAGTAAAGGTTAAAGGCGGAAGCTGCTCTTAGTAGTAGCTCTATTTTTCAAGTTTTTACTGGAAGCAACTGTGAAATCTGTGAAAGCATCATTGCATAAAACAAAGATCATTCAGTGACAGAAATCAATAACACCAAATTTATTGTAAAATTAATTACTAAACTACAGTGACAGGAAAACTGAATTCACAGTCTATGTGTTTTAATAGGGGTGTACGTATAACATCTGTCTTTACTGCTATATGAGAATCATACAAAGAGTGATTCATTGGTCTGTAAAATAAAATACTTTTTGTAAGAAAGACAGATGAAAGACAAAAATGATATCCTAGTCTAACCTAATGCTGGATTTCTAAGAAAACAGATGCATTATTATCAAAAAAAATATCATAATAGCCGACATTGTAGCTGTTTGCTCCTATAGATAAATTGATATTAATTTATTAAATTCATTCAAATAGAAAACTATCAACATTTACGCTCACTCATATTGAAGCCAGTGTCATTATGAAAAGCTTTTCAGACTCTTTTGTGAAAATGTTTGTCAAATGTTGAACTGTATAACATGGGTCCTTGTGTCTGAATTGTGTGGAGGTGACGATGTGTAACTTGACCTGAAAATGTACGAATGATTTTATGACTCACTTTTAATAAGAGTGGAAGGATTAACAGTAGCCAAGTAAGAAACAGAATGAAAACATCTGTGGTTTCTGTGTTTTAAGCAGAACTGAAACCATCCGCAGTGATACAGTATCGCCATATTGAATTTTGAATTGTGAGTCTCATATGTCTGTGAACTATGGAGTGTCCACTAATAAACAGAAATTGACCTGAGAAGTGGACCTCAGAACTTGCCCAATGCTAAGTGGAAAATCACAAGATAATTTAGTATTACAGTCACTGGTAAGGCAAGAGGTTGGAGGATTACATAAGTGACCAGTTGTGTGTGGAAACAGCCAGGGATTAAACGTCAGTGTTGGATGAATGTTGACAAAATGCTATTGTATGATGAGGTTAAGTATTTGTGATGTTTATCAATCAATGCTTGATATTTTTAATTACTGTAAATTAGTGCACCTCGAAGAAGGTACCTGTGAGCTCCAAAGTCCCTCAGAATAACATAGTTTCACCTTTACCTTTATTCACTTTATATGGATTTCAACCACATTTCACAGTCCTGTGCTTTTGACAAATTTGACATAAATGTCACCTAAACTCAGAGCCTCAATAAACATCACAAAACAAATAAATCCTAAATCAAGGTCCTTTTGCAAGTTTCCAGGCTTGAAATATATATATATATATATATATATATATACATATAAACATGAGATCACCACCAATAAACCATACAAACAACCAGTGGTGGAATGTATCTAAGTACATACATAATTGTTAAGTACTTTTACTTTAATTGAGTATTTTCTATTCATGCTAATTCATACTTCTACTTGATTTCACTTCAGAGGAGAATACTACAATTTCTCCAACATATATTTGGCAGCAAGTTTTGTTATGAATTAAACTACTGAATTTAATCTAATGTATATATACTAATAGAGCTGAAAGGATTAGTCAATTAAGTGATTAATCCATTGTCAGAAAAATAATAATTGGCAACTATTTTAATAATGGTTTGAGTCATTTTCCAAGCAAAATACAAAACATTTCATGGTGACGGGTGGAGCTCCTCTGTATGTATGTATTTCCGGAGTATCAGAGCAGAGATGTTGATTGTTTCAAGATAGAAATCAGTTATCTGTCCGCCATGCCTATTACATCAAAACCTTTGCCTCATAGGATTAACAATAGCCCACCTCTAGTTGTCATTGCCAACACGGAAGTTGAGGAGGATTTCTCTCTCGTTGAACCTTCTTCATCTTTGGTGGGTCTGCCAGACATAATACCGGCTTTCTGAAGGACAGACAGAGGTTCATCCACGGCATCGCTACTTCTCTCCGACACAACGAATTTAATAACAAACCACATTAACCCGGGACATGGGCTTCGACATAAAGCGCTCTATATGATCACATTTTGGTATGTTTACATTGGTTTCCGGTATTCATGATATTCCTGTTGTTTTCCGAGACAAACAAGCTAAGCTACAAAACAGTCATCACTGTTTGGGAAACACTACAAAGCTGCTAAGCTAGTGTCAGTGTTCAGAAATTTAGAGAGTGGTCTTACTAACTTCATAAAGACATTGTAAAAAGCTGATACCACATTATGTTTGCTTTGATGTAAATGTAGCCTTCCTGTAGCTGTTTTAACCATCATTATTTTAGGATGTAACCAGTTTTGAAGTCTGAAACAACTGTAATGCGATTCCCTCAAAACAGGCCTTAGAATGTAGCCTATTATAAAGTCTTTCTGCCCATTTACAAATGGTTTGAATATTTATTATTACCTGCCATAGACAGTAACATAACTAGGAAGACAATTGACCTCTAATGAGCAAGTGTCAAATTTAATTAATTTTAATAAACAACAACATAACATTAATTTAACATTAATTTATTCAAAAGGAAAAACTGAAATATCACATTGACAGAAGTATTCAGACATTTGAAACTTAGCTCACGTGCCTCCCATTTTCATCATTTTTGAGATGTTTCTACACCGTATTTGGCACTGCACTGCTCATCACCTGCTCAATACCTTCCCACCAGTGAAGCATATCAGTGAAGCATGGTGGTGGCAGCCTCATGCTGTGGGGTGATTATTCAACAGCAGAGATCATGGTTGAGGGAAAAATTAACAGTGCAAAGTACAGAGATATCCTATATGAAAACCTGGTCCAGAGCGCTCAGGGCCTCAGACTGGGCTGAAGGTTCACCTTCCAACAGAACAATGACCCTATGTAGAAGTGGCTCTTAGGGACAAGCCAGAGCCCTGACTTGAACCCAATCGAACATCTCTTGAGACACCTGAAAATGTCTGTCCACTGGCGGTCCCCATTAAACCTGACAGAGCTTGAGAGGATCTGCAGAGAAGAATGGCAGAAATCCCTAAATCCAGGTGTGCAAACCTTGTCGCACCACCCAAGAAGAATTTAGGCTGTTAACGAAGCCAAATGTGTTTCAACTAAGTCCTGCGTAAAGGGTCAATGTGATATTTCAGTTTTTCATTTTTAATAAATTTGCAAAAATTTCTAAAATTCTATTGTTGCTTTGGCATTATGGGGTATTGAGGCGAGATTGATGAGGGAAAAAATGAATATAAACAATTTTAGCATGAAGCTGCAACATAAGAAATTGTGAAAAAAGTGAAAGGGTCTGAATACTTTCTGAATGCACTGTAGGAGCTTCATTGTTTGTAGTCGATTTGCCTCTCTTTGTGGTTGTTTTACTTCTTCCTGTGACTCGGTATTAACAGTCAATTCTTACAGAGGCTTGAGGCTGCGAGGTACTGACAAAAATGTGATATAATTGTCTATAGATAAATATAGTTAATAAATAATTGTAGGCCATATTGTCCCTAATGGTTTTCTCTTATTCTTCAACAATCATTCTGTGCAATACTCTGCAGAAACCCTGTGTAATGTAAGTAGCCCCTCAGCAAAGGATCATGTGATTTTTGTGTGATTCTTTAGCAGAATCAAAGCGGCACTGATGAAGCTCTCATTGTTATTGTGTAAAGGCTCACTAGAGGGCACCTTGGTACACATGTAAAGAAAACTGGGTACCAAGAGTTTATAAGTTGTAACTCATTTCTGTCTTAATGGTTTATATGATTTGCATCATATCAATAACCTCACCCAGGCCATAGCACTGCTATTCTTGTACACACTTTAGTTGCATCTCACATTGATTACTGTAACTCTATCCTCTCTGGTCTTCCTCACAAACTTCTCCATAAACTTCAACTGGTTCAGAATGCAGCAGCTGTATCGTTACCAGAACCCCTTCAATTGGACATATTACTCCTGTCCTCCAGCAGCTGCACTGGCTCCCTCTTAAACACCGTATTGATTTCAGGAGTCTTCCTCTCACTTTCAAGTCACTTCACATCCAACCACCTCCGTATCTCTCTGATCTACTCCATATCTGCACACCTGGCCGTACTCTTAGATCTTCCTCTTCCATTAATCTCACTGTACCTCCGGCCCGTCTGACTACCATGGGGTTTAGAGCCTTCAGCCGTGTTGCCCCCTCGATTCTGCAACTCACTTTCACAAGACATCTGTAATATCGATTCTCTTTCTACCTTCAAATCCCACCTCAAAACAGGCCTCTTCAAACTTACCTATTCTGTTTAACTCTTACTGTAGCATATTTAGCATATAAATCATATTTATTGTATGCAATTATATTTATTCTAATTTATTTTGTATCAAATGCCTCGTTCTTGCTATTTTATTTATTTTACTGTTTGTACTGTAAATAAAATGTATTATTATTATTGTTAATAACAACAACAGCAACAATAATAATACAATTTGTATTAATACCCTATCGTTAAGCCATAAGTCATCAATTACTGCCTGGTGAGTCAGTAAGTTATTAATTAAGGATAACAAGTGTCTTTAATTAGTTTCCAAATAGCCATTAATCAAGCTGTTACTAATGTTAATGAGTCAGTAATAATAAAGAATCAAATAATAAGAGTCACAGGTGTTTCACTCTCTAAAGCCACCAGAAAAACTTAGTAATTCATCTGTAACTATGAATAAGAAAGAAGTTCAATCTATTAAGTCTTTACCTGTAAACAGCACTAACTTATTATTATTAAAGTAATTATAAGATTTTTGTGCAGATGCTCTGAAGCACTCCTCTAAATGTTCAGGGGTCAAACAAACAGTCTGTTGCAGCTTTTACCTGGTGAACACAAGAGCTAAAAAGCCGGAGGAGGATGAACATGACCTGTGACGCAAAAATTGTATTTGTTAATAGCTGATCTATGAAGCCTTAGTAAATAATTTACTAAACATTAATTAAATCAATAGTTACAACTGAAACTGTTTACAAAGGGTGCCTTATTAAAGAGCAACCACAGCATACACCTTGGTTGGGATGCATTATCGTTTTACACAACCTGATAACAGTAAAACAAAGTGTGTTTTCCTGTGACTTACATTCCTTGTCCTTTGTAGGTGAGCCAGACAGATTGAAGCACAACATGTAAGAGCCTTTCAAATACAACATTTTGAAGAGCACTGAGTGACATTACTTTTGAAAGAGAAATATCTTTTAATATATACATTTTTTACTTTTAAAGGTCAGGGTTAAAATGTCACATGTCACTGCCTGTGACAGTGGGCGCCCTGTTGGTGGGTCTCCCATACTCCATCTCTCTAGCTGCCCAGTGGATTTACGGATGGCCCAATAAGCCTGGATATAAGAAGTACATAGAAGCTCTAAAACCAAGGTAAATTGTAAAATGCCTCAGATCTGGTCTTTGTCCCACAGAATATAGTTTTGTTCTGTTTTTTTACTCATTTTTTTTGGCTTCTCCATCAGGCGAATATACTGTTTGACCAGAGCTGTGCTGGAAACTCTCAAATATCTGCAGTATGGGAGACTTTACTTTCAGTGGAAGTCATGGTACAAGAATGACGAAAACCGTAAGCATTATGAGAAGGTGAGTTCAGGAGAAGCTAGAAAGGAAAATGTGGTTGTTTTATCTGTGAGTTTATGTGTATATGTGCCTTTGCATGGAAGGGACCAGACATTTCTCTAGATACCTAAAATAATAACAGTTACATTTGTCTCAGTTTCACCACTTGATTGAAAAATGTACTATGTAATACCAAAAGTTTTGTGTGTCTGGACACTCCAAAGGCGATCACATTTGGCCGCCGAGGCAACAAGCTAGACTTGTACCACCCTCCAAACATGGAGAAGAAGGAAGATGCGCCTGCACCACTGGTGGTTTTCATCTATGGTGGTGCATGGGGCTCTGGAGAAAGATCCATTTACTGTCTACTGGCCAGGCAAATGGCTGAAGAGCTGGGTGCAGCGGTCGTTTGTCCTGATTACTGCACCTATCCGAAGGTCAGAAAAATACAGTTGTCCTAATGACATTCCGGTTAAAGATTTCTAGCACATGTGGACAGTGAGAGTGACTGGAATATGAACAGTACTTCTGAGAATTATACTGCGGTAACCCAAACGGCAGATAAGAAATGTAATTATAAATGTCACTGTGGTATCTGAGCTGACTGCGGGTTTCATCTGATCGCCAGGGGAACGTTTTAGGGATGGTCCAAGATATTGCTGACTGCTTGGTTTGGGCCCAAGAGAGTGGACAGAAGTTCAACTTTGACAAAGTAAGAAATATCTTGAAGTATTCCCTGGAAATTGAGTAAAACTATCAGATTATATTGGCAAAATTGACCAGTTATTATAAACTCCCGAAAGAAAGAAAACTTTTAAAGGTTTCATGAAATCATATAAAGCCTGAATCCACTTCCAATTTATGATGATCCTTTTTCATGCAGAGAATGGAAGAAAATAATTTCACTGGTTTGATTAGCTCTGATCCATTTCTAATTTGTAAACACATAAAATATTGTACAGTAATGATAATTGCTTATTTTTGCTTTAAGACGGCTCATGTTGTCTTGTTTGTCTGTCTTTTATAGGACAACATTGTGTTAATTGGCCATTCAGCAGGTGCACATTTGTGTGCTTTGACCACGCTGTTTCTCATTGACACAAGAGAGGAGCTTTTCATAGAGGCCAGTAAACAGCGGGACATTACACAGGCGACAAAGGGAGTTATTGGTAAGGATAACTGCACTGTGCATCACAGAGTCACGGTCGCAGCCATATTTTGTGCTAACGAAAACCCAACTTAAATAAATGTGTGAGCCACAAAGATAAATTAGTGGCTTCTGAATTGTTCATGTTTTCATTGTCTTTGCTATGAACTGAAGGCAGTGAAGTTCTTCAAACAAAAAAAGTAGAACTGTCTCTTCAGAGGTATCAGTAGAACTGCCTCCTTCATATTTTCATACAGTTGATTGCCAGGATTTTGTGTGAGTTGGTTAATCTCTGATATTTCCTGGACAGGTCTGAGTGGTGTCTACAACATCATGGACCATTATGAGCATGAGCAAAAGCGAGCGGTTGAGTATGTGTCAACCATGCACAAAGCCATGAATGGAGTGGAAAACTTTCCGTACTACTCGCCAACACATTTACTGGAGAAACTCAGCCAGGACAAACTGAACAGGTGAGACAAATGGTTATATTAGCTTTAACAACACTGAGGTTTAAATCTATTGCATCTTTAATTTATTTGAAATACAAATATGAGCATTTTTGACTGACAGGGGTCTTTTTTAAATTTTATTTCTGAGTGACAGAGTGCCTCCGTTCGCTTTGCTCCATGGGACCACTGACATCATCGTTCCTGTTGAATCTTCCACAAAGTTCTCTGAGCTTCTCAACTCGCTCTCCGTGAAGGTGTCGCTTTACCTGCTACCAAGAGTCGACCACACGGAGATCGTCACTGACCTCATGGCGTCAGACAGGCGCTTCTACCATCCCATCTACAGCTGCATCAAACAGGAGTTCAGAAAACTTCTGGGAACCTGCTGACATCCCAGTCATCAGGACAACATCAGTCACGTCCATATTTACTGATTGTGCCATACACTTACTTTGTTTACAGTATCTGCTCTAATACCTCAAAACAAATCATTTCCATGATTTAACTTGAGTCATTTGTGTTGTGATTCCATGATAATGATGTAAATTTTGACGGGCTCTCTGATTACAATTGAAGTGATTGGACTGTGGTCTGGATAACAGATTGCAGTACAGTGAATTAAGTGAATCTGAAGCGAAATCAACAATGAAGCAATAACAGTACTATGAAAATCAGAAAAGCACACTACTACACAGTATTGAAATGGAAGTCCAATTAACTATGTTTTACCGAAGTGGCAACATTTTGATTCATAATCCTTTTTGTTTTTTATCAAATGAAACATTTCCGTGATGCACTGTAACAACAGACATATTAAACCTACTTGAAGGAACCTTTTGTTTTGCCTTCAGATCTCTCAGACACACACATCACACAAACTATCACATTTTGTGCCAAGCAGCAACAATCAAGTACCAGTACAAAAACAATCAACAAAATTCGTATTGCTCCAAAATGTATGTTTAACTGCTATGGGTACTGCTGCATGGACTGGGCCATAGTTGGAGATTATAATATTCATAATTTTCCTGAGAGATTGTATTATTGCTGCTCTCCAGTTTATTCTAAGGTAAGCCTGGCTCTTTTTATGTGAGCTATACGTACTGTACCATAGAATATATATAGAAGCATATAATTTGCCTCTATTGAAAGTGTCCCTCTACTTTTATCATTACCACCATCCTTTTTTCCAAAGGGTGAGGGCCTGCCATAGAGATGCAGGAGAACATTTATCCTATTAAAAATTAGCAATGCTCTTTGGTAACACTTTACTTCAGGTTTCCCTGTTTAGCATTTATAAGCAGTATATGAACATTTAATAAATAGTTTATAACACATTATAATATAGCAGCAATTTTAAGTGTTTATCAATGTACAGTATTTGTCAACAATTATAACTCTTCCAATGAAGACATATTTTGTGTTATTACAATTGTGTTTTACTATATTGTCATTCATTATCTGTTTATACAGTAGCTCCCACTTATGGGTCTCCACAGGAGGAGTTATAGTTGTTAAAAAATAAATGAATAATATAATATTATAATGTTATAAATCATTTATTAACTTATAAATACTAAATGTTATTGAGTAACAATAGGCAAAAAAATGTCTCTTAGTTTTACAATCAAAGTTATATATTTTTGGTTTTATGTTATACTATTTTCCAATAAATATTAGTAAATAAGTCATAACGCTTTCAGTGTAAGGATTTATTTTGACATTTGATAAAGGTTAAATTAAGTCAGCTTGATTTTGAGCTGTTCACACATCTCCACATGGTGTTGTTTGGTTAAATAGGCCTGCAGCGTTTTTCCCTTTCTTATTCTGGCTTTTATTTTGAAAACTGGGATTAACATGCCTTTTTCTTTGAGATGACACACCACACACACACACACACACACACACACACACACACACACACACACACACACACACACACACACACACACACACACACACGAGGCGGAGTTAGACGAGGATCCACATCGGTGCCTCAACTCAGTTCAGTTGAGGGTTTGCTTGAGACTCACTCATTGTCACCGTTTGGATTAACTGAGCTCTTCACGCGGTGTTTGACGTTACCGAAGCGAGAGGAAGTGAAAACAGGTTTGTAAATATGTAACTGTGCAGTCCAGCAACAACTAGTGTTTGAACCACCGGGGAGAAGGAAGATGGACTCTGCCGTGAACAACGCCGAGAAGAAGCGGTGGCTCAGCGGTCTGCTTTGGTGGTCGCTCCTGGTCGAGCTGGCGTCGGGAGGTAACAAAGCAACTTTTCGACTTTTTTTTCCCAATGAAAACAAACGAGATATAAACTTATTAGATGGTGCTTTCAATGACGACATGTTAATGCTGCAACCACAAGCTTCAACTCTGATGACTGTCTTCCAGTGTTTGTAGCTTAATGAGGAAATAGTTTCCTGAAGGCTTCTTGAGATTTGCAGGTTATGACAACTGAAGTAACAAAGCAAACATAATCACTTACTTTATTTTTGTCACTGGCTGCTCTTTCCTTCATATGAGGGCTACAGCACTATTTCTGTATCATCATGAGCGTGTCTCCAAAAGCAGGCTTAGTATCACTTTACAGAGGATTGTTAAATGTTTTCTGTGCACACTGCAGAGTTGCTGTAATGGTTCACAGGTCTTAAAATGTTAACCTCAGTGTGACACCCAACTGAACAACAGCATGTGAATGTGAATGTTTTCATTCCAGCAACAACAGAGATTCATTTTTATGCATGATCTTGCATGTTTTGCTTTCAAACTAAGGAGACCAATAATTCCAGTATTTATCTTACACATATGATTTGCATTAGTTTTTCTATAATCTGTGCATGCATGGCTCACACACACAGGATAATGCAGTGCACTGTAAGCTCTCACCTTATTAGAGGCAGCAGCAGGGACTGTGATGCCCACTGTGGTGGAAGAATATCTGACTGTGACAATAACACATTCAAACAAATGCAAGAAAATGGACATCCATTGCTTTGTTGATGGACCTAAGGGAAAAATATGTTTTTTTTTGAGTGAGTTTTTACAGACGTACATTATTTACATAGATGTGGGCATTATTATTCTGTCTGGTTGATTTGATTCTGGCCATGTGTCATCTATATTCAGTATTCATCCAGGCTGTGGCCCTGGGGATAATCAGGAATTATTTCACTGTGACTCACACTAGACCATATCCTTCAATGAATATAACTACAGTATAGACATTTGCTTTACTTGAATGCGTCCCTTGATGTGAGCGTACTCTGTATTCCCCTCGCATTATGAAACAAGCCTCGTCCCAGGTTTTGATAATGCATCAGCAACAGAATGGCACGACAGTCCGTGAAAAAAAAACAAAGAGACACTTCAGTCAAGTTGCATCTCTGATTTGTTGTATAAACTGAGCACACAGGCAGTGACAAGCACTGGTCTTAGGCCTCAAATTAACTGTAAGCGGGTGTTCACTAAAAGGTCACTGGCATTGTTGTTGAAAGAGCGCTTTGTGAAATCTCACCAAAAAAAAATGTCCCTGTCGCACGGAAAGTGCCCCTGTAGACACGTAGATTACAGAACAACCTTCACACACCTCCTGTTTCTGCACAGTCAGGTGGACACAGGTATGTTTATGTGTGGGTATTGTTTTCTGGCAGTCTGCTGTGGTCTTTCATTTACATACTCCCTAAATTTCTATGTTTCTGCAGCTGAAACAACCAAAATTTTTTTCCCTTACATTATCGCTATTTTACAGCTTTCCAAGAATCCAGTTGCTTGTACGCAAGTTATGGGGAAGACCCTGTTGTTTGAACCAAACATGACATCATATGACTTGAACGTCATTGTTACGACTCTAAAATACAATTGAGCATGCATCCGGTCCATCCTAGTGAACTTAGGGGAAAAATGTCATTGCTTTCCTCTTGGTTAGTTTTTGGAAATGCTTCCTCCCTGTTGTACACAGAGCCAGTCAGATGAATGAAAATGACGTATAAATAAGGACGGACAATAAACTCACTCCGTCTGAGTCGGGGTCAGAATAAGGATAAATAATGCTGGATTGCTCGTGCCTGTGGGCCAATTATTCTCTATTTCCAGCTGCATTTAACAATTTAACAGGCACATTACACCAGACTGAGAATTATCGTTTAGGAAAGACTGGACAGTTAATGATGATTAAATTAAATTCAACACCAATAAAAAAAATACATACAAAAATTGCTGCAAATTGAAAAGTACTTCTTCAGCTGACTACCTTTGTTAGCACATACACAAATATATATAATACAGGCCTTAATATATATTTCTGTGTATGAGTTAGTTCAAAACAGCACTATTAGCTCATTTGGGGAATATGGGATGGTAACGTGTGAAGTTCGCTGGAAAATGTGTGTCTCACCAGAAATACGTTTATTTGGGATAAACAAATCAGTGGATCTTGGTCAAAAGACGTGCCCACGTGTCGATAAGATTAGAGGAGGACTGAGATTTAGACGGCTGCAAGGATTACTCAATTAATCAAGTGACAGAAAATTTATCTGCAACTTTTTTTGATAGTCAGTTGATCGTTTTAACTCATATTTCAATCAAAAATGCCAAACATTCACTGGTAGCAGCAAACTGACATCACATTGAGATTAAGGAAATTGTGATTGTGAGAAATTTGCAATATTTTTTTTACTATTTTGTGGCATTTTTTGGACTGATTAATGGAAGAACAAAGGAATGATCATCATATTAATTGATGATGAAAGAAATTGTTAGTTTCAGAGACCGGAGTGACCGGAGAGATGATGAAAACTACAGCGTTTGCTGTAGCATTTCTATCCAATACTGATTTATTGCAAATTCATCATTTATATCTGGTGTTGTTGATCTGTATATGTGAACGCCTGATGTTTAGCAGTTTCCAAGGAAAAGTTAACACTACTAGCGTGAACGTCGCATTTGCATATAGGGATGTTTGCCATATTGGTAAATTAGCTAAAAAGATGAAGCCAAATGAAACAGTAATTGTACTTTATTGCCTCGTCAAAGTTCGCTCGTCACAAAATAAATCATTCATTTGACTTGTATTTGAAGACATGGGCATGATGTAATTTTGTAACTTTTTTTAATTATGTTATCCGTCGCATCCGCTAACCTGTCACTCTTGGAATTCTTTGAGCAGCTCCGCATGTCTGTTGGCGAGATGATTTGTGTTGGCTATCATGGTCTGCGCAGGTTTAAAACATCTTTTGCAGACGGGCTTTGTGAGGTCTGTGGGCTTGCCCTGACTGGCAGCTATGGAAGAGGAATAATGCCATCTTTTGCTTTGTGTATCTGCTTTATTGACAAGCCGTGGACAGTCAACAAAACTGCCATTTTTAAAGTATTGGTACTAATAAAATGGGGTATAGTTGTTTTTTTGTCTCTACAATCAGCTCCTGTTGATTGATGACCGTATACTGACATGGCTGAAGGGCTTTTTACATGCTTTACTGGTTTAATTGTCTTAATTTATACTACATAGTCCATACAGATTGGATTTGATTAAGCAAACGACCCATTAGTGCATTAACCCTTTTAGGAGTAACAACAATGCATTAACTCACATTAACTTTATCTAGCTTCACCCGTGAGTCACTCTGGGCCATTAGCAGCAAGCTGCTCTTGCCCCTGGGTCATGATGAACTCCAAATAAATCAAAAGTGGAATGGACATGGTTCTTCACAGAGGCGGAGATTTGTTAACCTTTGAATATGCGTGGGACTCTGACACTCATTAAAAAACTCAACTGGTGATGCCTGGGCATGAGGGCTTAGATGAGAAAGCTTCAGAACACGTTAGCCTAGATTACAGGGTGATGTGAAATGGCAGGGAGGTGAGGTAGAAGAAACAGCTGGGTCCATCCGCCACACTGTTTCTGGAACACGCGGCCACAGACAATGTGTGGATGTCAGAGCCTTTCATGTTCAGGTTGAAGGTTCCTGTCAGGGCAGGGCAGGCCCAAACATGTCTGACTCCCTCCAAGCCACCTCCTCATCCTCTGCCTCAGTTTGGATACTGCTGTTGTGGCATTAAAGTCAAATACCTTTAAAATTCGTATATGTCATTACTACAGTTTTGGACAGTCCATGAACAACTTGCTCCTAAAGCTACAAAAGAGCAGAGATATAAATCTGCAATTCTGCTGCAAGTAGTACATGCAGGAGTAAAGTTTCATCCTGAAGGTGGTTATTATTCTATAGGTAACGCTTTAAAACTCATAATTGTACTCTTGACATACTTGACTGCATGTAAATCATTATGATTGAGCATATAGAGTACAAACACAACCGGCCCACCAGGAAGGCTGAGCTTAGCAGATCCAAAGAATCTTACAAGCACTCTTTAAATAAGGTGAGGTATAATTTGTGGACAGTGTGTGTGTGTGTGTGTGTGTGTGTGTGTGTGTGTGTGTGTGTGTGTGTGTGTGTGTGTGTGTGTGCGTGCGTGCGTGCGTGCGCGCTTCCCACTTACACAGGCTCTGCTCCACTTGTAAAGAACAACCAGGATGATAATTAGCCTGGCTTTTATATCTAAATGTCACATGTTGGCTATATTAAGACCACAATGCTTGACTTGACTTGCTCTGTGTTTGTTGTAGTCACTGCTACTGTACTTTCTGTTTCTCATCTCCCTCAAGCTCTGCTCAGTTTAAATGATTGTGATGCACTGATTTAACAAACTGCAAAAGACAGTCAACACCACATTCGACCATATACAATCTCCCTCTTGTTATCGCTTTAAAAAAAAAAAAAAAAAACAGTCTCTCTCTAATGTCTCTTTCTACAGCTTCCCTCTATGGCGATGGCTTTGTACAGCTCAAAGCAACAGAGTCGTCCGACCATAACATGCTCCGCATTCGCTTCCGAACCTCCAGCACCAATGGCCTGCTGTTTCTAGCTGCCGGCCAGACCGACTACTTCCTACTAGAGCTGCATGCTGGTCGCCTGCAGGTGGGTACATCCATGGCCCCAGCGCATGAGCATATGTGTGCAAGCATACATTAGTACACACGTGCACGCACATATTCACATGCATACAACACTTCGCAGATGTATGTGCCCGACCGCATATGAGCTCACAATAGACGTAGACACACACGCACACACACTGACCACCGTAAGCCATGGTTCCATCTCAGTTGACAGTGTCAGTCTCTCAACACAGTAACACAAGCAGACAAGCCTCAGTGTTAACTCCATACCAGTCACTTCTTGTCACAGTAGCAACCAGGAGATAATGAAAGCAGTCAGATCTGTGTTTTTAATCTATTGGAATAAGTGAGATAATTTTAACTGATCACAGGGCGTGGTACTCTGCCTCTATGCAAGAAATCACTTGAATTATCAAACATTGTGAAACTAATCAGTGGACTGCTTCTTTGCCTGCTATTGCTGTAATCACTCCATGATCTATGTAATACAGGGATGCAACTAATGATTATTTTCATTATTGATTAATCATATTATTAATTAATTATTGTATGAAATGTCGGCCAATTGTGAAAACATGTATGTCACTATTTCTCAGTGCTTAAGGTGATGTCATCAAATTGCTTGTTCTGTCCAACTAGTAGTAGGAGTGTTCTCTCGCCACTTTCATTTCACTAATGTGTTGTAGAACAGGGCTTTCATCAGGGTAACGGTCCAAATCCCAAGTCCTCACATTTCAGAAGTTGCAACCAAGGAATGTTTGGCATTTTTGCTTGAAAAAATAACTGAAGCAACTGATCGATTATCAGATTTTTGGTTGACTGATTGCTCCCCTGGTCATGAACAGTGCAGCCTTTAAAGCTTAGTCAAATGGAAAGCAAAATGTCGTTAATTTTAAGAAGTTCAAATTGAAATCAATCTAGTTACTTAACAAAAAAGTTACTTAAATGAACATACAGAACGTGCCAATCAATTTCCTTGTTATAGTTTCATTATGGATAATTGAGGTGACCAGTTGTATTTAATAATGAGAAGCTCACAGTAAGATTGCATCTCCCTATTTCTGAAGGCACTGAATTCCTGAGCAGAATGAGCTTAAATTCTGCAAAATTAGAAACCGACTTTAATGTTAAATTCAAGTGGAACTGCAAACAGTGCTCCTACTGCCACAACATTTATAGCTATAAATATAATAGAAATAAACACGACATGTAGTACACTCCTCAGGCGATCTACTTCTGATTTAAAGACAAATGTGTTAACCCTGGGAACCCTTATGAAATTTAGCTTTGCTGGGAGAATTTAAGGGTAAAATACTTTTGTCCCTTAAACACTGATTCTTAAGCATCCTGTAGCAGCTCTGCCAAGCTTAATCAGCACACAGAAAGGACAGATGTACTGTAGGCAGGCTTGAAATAGAAATGCAGACACATTCATAAGAAGTACAGGGAGTCCTGAGATATGCATTGTAGCTTTTGTGCATCAAACTCGAGAAATCCTTGTGACTAAGCTTCTATTCGTGTTAGACTTGTGCTGCCGGGAATAAATCATACTGACGACTGTGTTGCATTGTTGTACTTCAGTGAACACGAGGAGTGAAAGGCTCATCCCTGTTCCTTAAACTGTCACAGGTCACCAAATAATTTTTTTGTTCACCCACACAAGTTTTCCTCAGGCTTGGGATCTCATTCCATGTGAGTCAGCCATGAGTGTTGCTCCCTGGAAACCCGTGCATGAATAGCAGGGACTCAGCGGCAAGCCTTGACAAGCATGTCATCTAAATGCAGCATTAGTTTGAGATGGTGACATGATGCTCTAAGGACATTGCTGAGGGCAAAGAGATAAGAGTCCTCTTCCTGCTTCAAATCACAGACAAAGCTCACTGTTATAACAGGTGACATCATGGAATATACACAGTCTAAATCTTGTGTTTCCCTTTTGGGCTGTCATGGTGTCCACAGTTAATCATTTAATTCATATAAGTTGTAATGTCATAGGTTATATAGACAGTTATTTCATCTGACACAGTCAAAATATTTGAAGAATCTATCTATTATTTTTGCACTTGTAATGCTATATAAATACATGTTATTTAATTAATTAATTATTAACAATATTTTCTTCATGGTCATGCTAAATAGTTGCAACCTCTACATGCATGTTTAAATAAGTGTCTATAGCCATGGTAGAGACTCCATGAAGCTGTACTTGTGCCCAGCAGTCATGTCAGCATGCTAACATGATTACAGAGACAATGCTAATTTGATGATGTTTAGTAGGTGTAATGCTCACATCCCAGTTTAGCATGACCGAATGAATGAAAAGTTAAAGGATTAGTCATTATAAGTCATCCTCAGGATGGCATGAATGTCTACCAGTTTTATTGGGAGTCCATCCAGTAGTTGTTGACACATTTTAATTTAAACCACAAATGTCACCCTCATGGTGGCACTAGAGGAAAAGTTATCAATCAAAAAACCATCAAAAAAGTCAGAATTCATTCTCAAAGAACCAAGAATGTCTAAACAAAAATTTGTACACCAGATGTTGAGATATTTCACAGGATAAGTGAAAACTTTGACCTATTCATAGCGCAAAATGTAAGTTACAAGATTAGAGAAATCAGTGGGCTTCATCCTCTGGGACAACAGAGACATCTGTACAAAACTGAATGACAATTCACTAAAACACAAACTCATGGTGGTTTTAGAGGAAAAAAGTCAGATTACCAAAGTCAGTAGGCTTCATCCTATGGGGACCATGAATATCTGTACCAAAGTTTCATGGCAATCTATCCAGTATATCTTGAGGTACTCTTCCTGGTCCCGTGCTGCAGGCATGGCTAACAATTACAACAATTGCATTTAAAATGGGAAATCACAACAAACATCTATTCTAAACAGATAACCTCAATCTCGATTGAATTGCTGGTTAGATCACTAAGTGTATTTGCCTTTTATTCCTGTGTTATAACATCTTTTATAATTGAGTTGTTTTGTTTCTTGTCTTAGCTGAAACTAGACCTCGGATCTGGGGAGCGAGTGTTACAGTCAGAGCGAGGCACCCAGCTCAATGACCTGGCCTGGCACTCTGTGGAGGTCCACCATGTGCAGCACAACATCACTCTAACTGTGGACAAGAACTCTCATACAAGTGTAAAGATGCCAGGCTCCCATCGTGATCTCAACATCTTGGATGGCCTCTATGTTGGAGGCTCAGGCGGCCTAGACAGACTTTATATCCCCAGAGACCCGATTGGCTTCCGAGGCTGCATGGACAACGTGGTCTTCAATGAACATGACTTGCTGTCATCTCTTAGGCCTTATACTGGATTCAAAAATGTCCATGAGGTGTCTTTAGGCTGCAGTCCCCAATTCTTTGCCACCGAGGAGGACCCTATAAGCTTCTTCAGTTCCAGGGCTTACATTTCTTTTCCAACCTGGAATGCCCAACAGGAAGCGATATTTGAGTGTGTTGTGCACACTTCAGCCAAAGAGGGAATTATGTTGTACAGTTCAGCCAGAGAGGGTGACTTTGTGGCTGTGGAGATTCAAGAAGGTTTGCCAGTGGCCATTGTTGGAAAAGCAGGAACCAAAACTGAGCTTCGTTCCCTCACGTTCATCAATGACAGGAAATGGCATTCTATCAAGTTGCATTTCAGTTCCAAAAGCCTTGAGCTAACTGTTGATGGAGAGATGGTGAAAAGCAGCATCAGCTCTCGTTCAAAGGGGCTTCAGCTCAAAGGTTATCTTTTTGTAGGAGGTATTGATGACAGCACCAGATCGGAAGTTAGAAAGGTGGGGCTCGTCTCTGTGTCTGGAAAGCGTGTCAGGGGAGGTTCCTTCAAAGGATGTTTGAAGAACATTGAAGTCAATGGAGTGAAGATGGGTCTCTCTAGTGCTGTTGTCACCAAGGATATCTCAGTTGGTTGTGAGCCAGATAAAGAACCAGAACCATCAACCACCATAAGTCCAACAAGCGTTCCGGGATCCCTTTTTCACTTCGTGACACCAACACCATCTTTACACATGTCCACTCTCGCAAGGGGCTTGGATAGAAGGTATGGCTCAAATTTTGTGCAACTAAAAAACCTTGTGGTGCAGGAAGGTAGTAGAGCATCTCTTGAGGCCAAACACATTAAGGTTCTCTTGGACTTCAAAAAGCTTGGCATTCGACAGTCTCAGATTATGTTCCGAATTCGTGAGCAACCAATTCGGGGTCAGATAAGGCTTGATGTCGATCAAGACCAAGAGGAGAACACTTTCAGCATGTTGGACCTTTGGCACGGACGAGTGATGTATATCCATGGAGGGTCAGAGGAACCAGATGACTTCTTCATGTTTTCAATTTATTCTAGCAGTAGAAAGGAAGTTCCTGATTATCTGAAGGACAAAAAATTGTACCGGTACAATATTACTGTGACACCAACCAACGATGCACCTGAATTGAGTCTCCCTGAAGGAAATCTCTTTGTCCTGTTGGAGAACTCAAAGAAACGCCTCACCACGGATGTTCTAAAGGCCATAGACATTGACAGTAGCTATAATGACCTTGTCTTCTCTGTGCTTGGGAACCTGAACGCTGATGCAGGATATTTGGAAATTGAAAACAACCCTGGCAAGGCAGTGACCTTATTCTCATATTTAGACTTGGAAGAACTCAGGGTTTACTATGTTCACACAGGGGTTAGAAACTCAAGGATAGTTCTTAGAGTTAGCGATGGGGAAAAGGTCAGCAACACTGTGGTTCTAAGGGTCATGGCCGTAGCGCTGGAGTATAAGATTGCCAACAACACAGGCCTTGAAATCATTCAAGGAGAGACAGCTATAATTGGTTCAAAGCAACTAGCTGTCCAAACTAATGCTGTGAAACAAGTTGTAGATGTCCGGTATGATATGATTGAACCCCCTCAGTACGGAGAACTCCAGAGGCTTCACTCAAGTGGTGAATGGAGGCCTGCTGACTCATTTTCCCAAAGACTTCTAGAAAAAGAGCGCCTGAGGTATGTTAGCACTTTTCAAGACATCCAGACATCCAATGCCACTGATTACTTTAAGTGCAAAGTTAATGTGGCTGCAAGGGCAACCACTGAACTACTCTTCCCAATAACTGTGAAGTGGGTGAAATACCACCTGGTGAGGAATGTTATGTTAAACTTGGATAAAGTTAGGAAAGTGACACTGAATTCTGAGCATCTTTTTGCTGCAGCCGAAGGTGTGGCCCTCTTAGAGGATGACCTTTATTTTCGGGTTCTCACCATACCAAAGAAAGGAAAACTCTTACTCGAAACCACAGTCTTGTGGAAGAATTCAACCTTTAGCCAAAAAGATGTAACAGATCTTAAAGTACATTATGAGCTAGTTGACAGGCCTTACGAAGATACTAGTGACAGATTCAAATTTCAGCTGGTTTCCAAACATGCTCAGTCTCAAAACTATGATTTCCAGTTTTCCATTAAAGCTGATATCAACAGTGTTTTCATGAGAAATGATGGACTCTCCCTTCTGGAGGGAGAAAGTAAGCTTATCACTAAAGATGAGCTGTTTGCAGAGACTTTGAGTACAAAGGATATGTACTACACAGTCATAAGCAGCCCCAGACATGGAAAGCTAGCCCGTATTAGTCAGTCAAATTCCAATGCTAGCTACGACAACATCTTAACCTTTAGTAATCAGGATATATTAGAGGAAAGGATAATGTACATTCATGATGATAGTGAAACAACTCAAGACGAATTCACTTTCATAGCCTCCACCAGCAAAGGCTTCAAATCTTCCATTGCAGAGGATGAAATTGGCTCGAAGGGAGGATTGTTCAACGTATCCATTCAGCTGGTCAATGACCAAAAGCCAGTACGTGTTGTTGATAAAGTTTTCCATGTAGTAAGAGATGGACAGAGGTTACTCACTTCAGAGGATTTGCGTTATCATGATGCAGACTCTGATTATGATGATGGTCAGTTGATTTACACTCGACGTGGAATCCCCATGGGAGACCTAGTTCTGGTTAATGACACCACGCATCGGCTGTTCCAGTTTCGACAGAAGGATTTGGAAGAAAAGCGAGTGTTGTTCATTCACAAAGGTGTGAGCACTGGCAGGTTTGTGCTCTTTGTCTCGGATGGAAAACATTTTGTATCAAGCCTTTTAGACATCAGTGCACACGACCCTTTCTTGAAGGCTGGCAACAACACTGGTTTACTGGTTCAGAAGGGCCAATCAGTAACCTTTTCCAGCAGTAACTTTAGTGTCATATCAAATCTAGACATCAGAGATGACCAAGAGGTAATTTTCAAGATGGATGTGGCTCCTAAGTATGGAAGACTTTATCGCAATGAAACAAAGGTGGACTCGTTCACACTGTCTGACTTAAAGCATGGACTGATCTCCTATCGGCACGATGACAGCAAACATCTGGCAGACTATTTCAATCTAACAGTGAAAGTGAAAGGCTTTCGATTTGCAGTGAGGATCAATGTAAAGGTTTACCTGGAAAGTCATCAGAGGCCACCCATCGTGCTGCATCACAACAACTTACTGGTAGAAGAAGGAAAACCAGTGAAGATCGACGAAACTAAACTGGAGGTGAGTGTTTCAGAAGAGTGTCTGTGTGTGGGAGAGGGCTTGAGATTCCCAATCAACAATGTTCATGCAATTTTTATTCTGGTTCAAATAATAATATATATTTTTTATTGATATTGCAAGATAAAATTAATTTTAACCCAATCAACTTTGTGTATATTTGCAGAGGCATTACAGTTCCACCATTTTTTTGTCTAATTATGATATTATGCACATAATACTAATAATAATAATAATAATAATATGCATACTTGTGAATTCTCAGCACCACTTTCATTAGAGACATTTAAGATTAAGGACTTCCTATCCCTGACTATAAAAACATGTAATGAAACAACATGTGTCCTTTTTATAGTTAATGGAAGGAAAATGTTTGGCAGACAGTGTAAATTATGAAAGAAAAATATAACCAGAACAAATTACTTGTCTTGTCCTGGTTTTTAAGGCTGCTGAAAAGGTAAAAACTGAATGCTGACCCATGTTTGTTTTTTTTTATTTTACAATGATGTCATGTTGCATATAGAGTAAAATGAAAACTAAACTTTGGTGACACATGGAACATTTCAAGTTTAATCACTGACTATGTTTTCTGATCGTTGCAGGTCACTCACGAGGACAACCTGCCATCTGAGATTGTATTCACAGTCAAGGTAGCCCCCTCTCATGGCTTTCTCCGGCGTTTTGTCGAAGCGGAGCAGCGCCACATCGGAACCAAACAATCCCCTGTCAAGACGTTTAACCAAGAGGACATTAACAATGGGAACATCCAGTACATGCAGGTGGAGCCCAACGAAGTCAATGACACCTTCATCCTCGATGCCACCAACGGGGTCACTGACGTCAGTGACATTAGGATGTCTGTTGACATCATCCCACGCCTCATCCCACTTCAGGTCTCAAATTTCACTCTGAATGAGGGCGCTTCCAAGGCACTGACCCAGGATGTGCTCAAAGTCACCAACCGACATTTTTCTGGAATCAACTTCCTGTATAGTTTGACTGAGCCCCCCCAGCACGGTCACATTGAACACTCTCGACATCCTGGTGTGTCCATAACCTCTTTCACCAGGAGGCAGGTGAGATATTCTTACAGACAGTCCTTAAGTTGCTTTGGAGAAACAGCAACAGAGTGGCAGGTGGATTAATCGATAAATAATTAGATTTCATGTGGCAGTAATATTTTATTTATCAAGATGAGAGGGTGTTTTCTCAAATATGCCCCATATTTAAAGAGAGTTTGTTTTTTTTAAACCCACAGCCATCTTTGCAGTGTTTGTAATCTAACTCATCCTTAATTAAATCAAAACATTAAAGAGTATTACCCTTGCTTGACCCCCACCATCCCCTTCTTCTCACCCTATGCCTGCTAGAATCTCTTTTTTGTTTTTTCTCTATGTGCATTTCAGAGAGTATAGTGACCTAAGTGTCACAAAATATTAGTGTTTTGTATGGCTGTATTTTGAATAAATCTTTGCAGTTTTAGTTTCAGGTTCTCCCTAATAATTCCATGATCTCTTAACCAGGTGGAACATGAATTCATTTACTACATCCATGACAGCAGCGAAACCTTAGCCGACAACTTCACCGTGATGGCCAATGACTCAGGCCTGAGGAAGCAGAGTGCAGCCCAGACGGTGTACATCCAGGTTACAGCTGTCAACGATGAGCCTCCTGTTATTACAGCCAACAGGGTCCTCAGGGTGAGTCTGCACTGCTCTATATTTAAACTCTGGACGTGTTTTTTTTTTTACTAGCAGGTCTGGCACCATGGCTTACTGTCAGGCAGTTTTCATGTGGGCAGTGTTGCAGTGTTGCAAGTTGCCATGGCTGACTGGCTGGATGAGGAAACTATGTTTGCTATGTGGAGGAGGGTCAAGGGTGGGGGGGCTGGCAGCACAGCGCATGCATTGACATATATTTTGGAGGTGCTTGTTTGGTGTGAGTGTGAGTTACATTTCAAAAACGTTCCCCTAGTTTTAAAATATGTCACTGCCTTTTGGTGGGTCAGTTGCAAGCATTGCTGCTTCTGTGAATTGAAAGGGGAGCTGCTATTTTGTATAGTCTGGAGTGACCGGAAATGATTTCTAAGGCTACTTATGAATACAAAAGACTTTAAATCAAAGAGAAAATAACCCCCAGGCATTACATGAACATGAGATCATGCAGCTGGGAATATGATGCTTGAATTTAATCCATTCCAGAGCATCATCATAGTGTTGAGCAGCATGATGGCATGGCCTGGAAATAGCAAATGGCCTCAGCTCAGTCCTGTTTCTACTGCCTCACAACTCTCCTCACTGTCTTCTTATCCAAAAAGAATTGCATTTACTACCTGTCTGTGAAAAGCAGTTCTTCTTGCATACAGTATATTTTGAACGTCACTTAAATTCACGTAAATTAGACAAACATTGTTGTGTGTGTCCATGTGCTGAGCAGTGCTGAGCAGTGCTCCTGCAGCTTCAGTGGCTAGAGTTGGGAGAGGTCCAGCTGGAAAGAGAGGCTGAAGTATAGGCTTCTATTGTGTGTGTGCAGCTTTGCCCCAAATGCCTCAAATTCCTGCAGACTCAGAGAAGAGCGACTGCTAGAATTTACTGCACTGAAAAACATCAGGGAGCCAGGTGAATTATAGTAGCTTTAATCAGAAAACACTGAATATTTTTCAAAAGGGAGATGTTTACACATTTTGGTGACAGTCTCTGACAAGCTGGTCTGCACATAGGTATGATCTATTGAATGCAAATGTGATCTCATCGGTCATTATGTCATGTTTTACCAGAGGGGAACTGGATTCTCAGTGTCCACAAGGTGGCTCTCTGCCACTGCACATCATGTTGGGGCTCCAACTGTGGAAGATTTGAAGAGAGACACAGGTCTTCTTACAACCGACATACAGAGTCACCCTACCTAATTTCCATACAATTTATTGGAAAGTTCGTTTTGAAACAGCTTTGATGTTTTCTGACTCAATATTTTAAAAGGACTCAACAGATTTTTATTAATCAGTGTACCATAGGGGATTATTGTTACATGTTATATAAGCTTGGCAAATGCTGAATAAACCCTACGACAACCCTGCATAAATATCAGAGGATGTCTGTTTAAAAATACAAATTATTCATTTTTTAAATCAAAAATGAAACAAAACAAAACAATACAGATCATCCTTTTTTTCTTAAGTTTTAAAAAACCTTGAAATCAGTAGACTATGATCCAATACAAATGTCGTGTGTTTGTGGGTTAGTTGTGGCAGTACCGACTGACACGTGATACATTCAACTTCTGTGTGTTTTCCAAAGTTTGCGCCAGACATCTAGAAGTAATGGCATCACAGTGACATAGAGCTGTGAGCAGAGTCTCCTGAAGTCAAATTCTTAATTGTTTGTCATGAGTATTTATCTTTCGGAGACAGGCTTAATGTGAAGCAACATGAGAGATTTTTTTACTTTGTGCAGGTGAGATTAAAACCAAAGGCCTATTAAAACACCTCAGCACATAAAGATCAAAACAGTTGAGGTTTGGCAGTGAAGACTCACAGGAATTCAATAAAAATGGATCAAAGATATGATGAGTGTGGTGCAGTTTGTTTTGACTATCGTCTCCATGACTAAGGCTGCAGCCCGATGAGCATCCTGTCACGTTTGAGGGATTGATTTTCACTCCAAGGGGCTGTTTGTGCAAATTGATCTCATGTGTCCTGTCTTTGAGTTTGGTGGAGTCGCCCTGATGCGGTTTCAGACCGATCCTGCTGTGACTTCCTGTTTAATATAGGATTATTGGACGTGTAGTCATTTCCTGCTATGAGGAGCACGCACTCACATGTTTGGCAAGTGTTCTCATATGGGGAGAGATGGGACCAGTGTAATATGGTTTTACAGGTGCTAATTGAAAAAGTGCCCCATGCTTCTGATCCAGTAACACGTCTAACCAAGTGAGAGACCAGCTCACAGCCAGTTAGTAATACAGTGAATTTTAGGGCCATTTAGACTCATGTGTCAACCAGTGTTTAGTAGTTTTAAAAGGTAAAACCCGGCCTCAGATAGTCTTAAATCTTATGATGCCTGTGTTAGGCTGCACAAGTGTTTTTTTGTAGTTGTACCCACTTCCCTTCTCCCTGCAAAGTGCAGTTCTGCAGTCTGCGACATTTCTCACATAAACCACCTTCCAGAGAGCAGCAGTGAGAAGTTGACAATAAAAATACTTGCTACTTAATCAATGTGTGAACACTTGAGATGTTACTGTGATCACACCATTTCTATAAAATGCTATATATCTTGTGGCTGCATTGCATTGATATGACCCATGAAAAACAGGAAATTTGCACTCTTTTGTACGTAACAGTACTACATGAAATTCACTTTGACTCCAGCCAAAGTGGATTTTGTGACTAAACCTAACAATAACATTTATTGTGACCTTCTATTTCAGAAAATGCGTCAAATGGCTACATGTAATGGGAAAGTTGTCCTTCCTAGTTACAAACATGCAGATAATTATTACTCCTCTGCAGTCCCCTCAGCGCTACATCTTACAGCTCATTGTTTTTGTTTTCCAGCTCATGATTTTACTCTTTTGGTTCACTCTTGCTGCTCTCATCAGTCTCAAAACCTCTAGCTGAAGTCAGTGAAAAAGCTCTAAAAGCTCACTGTTCACAGTCAGACACACAAAAACAACTTCAAGCAGATGAGCGTAGTGGAGCATTTAGCAGCTAAACAGAAAAAATAAATAAATTCAGGTTTAACCATGAATATAAATATTTTAAACTACTCTTTTAACTCTAGCATGTGTCATGGTTTCATGGTAGGTTTTTGACTTTATGACTAAATCCCTATTCAGGCAGTTTTAACATTACAGATGGGTGATAGGGAATCAAATGGTCACTGTGCTGTTCTGTAAGTGACCCATCTTCCTGGACAGCATTTTTAATACTTCAAAATTAGAGGATGTGGTCTGTAATAGATTTTGTGTCTATTGATTCTCAGAAAAAGGTATCCTTCGTCAATAGTTTTGTGTCCCATGTGTTCACGAGTTCCTCTGTTGGGACCTTAATGGTGTGTCTGCTCTACATCCAACTGTGTTTACAGTGTGCGTGGCTATATTTAGCCCCAAGATGCCCGTCATATGTTCATTATGTTGTTGAATGTGACTTGAGTGATGCTCAGAGTGACACAGGTTGTTATTGTCTCAGCATCTTTTAGGTGCCTCAGTTAGAGATTGTTTTTGTAGCAGTTCTGCTTCATTGGATGATGAACAGTGGAAAATGGCTTGGAGAGAAGAAAGAGAGAAAAACATGTGAGAAAGCCTTGCAGCTGGACTCACATCCACAGCATCCTGGGTCCATTGTATGTGGTGATGAATGACAACGACACATCAGCTATTTCCGTCTGTCTTTTATGTGTCTCACTTCCTTTTCAGTTGTTTTATATCTGCGGAGATTAGGTGGATTTAATTAATGGAGAAAAAAAAAGTACCTGAGACATCATTCTGTTCTATCCTCAAGACAATTTTATTAGATTTTTTTCCAGAATACTTGAATTATGGCTGTAACGACTGGCAAATGGAAATAAGCTTTAAAGTAGCGAGTCTATTGCCCCATTGTATAACAAAATATGACAGTACCTCATGCCATCAATCAAAATAAATGTCAGAATCGCATATGCCTGTCAAATGCTGTTAGGACCTTCATTCTGAGCCATGTCAAACGAAGCATCCCTGTTCCTGCAGGTCTATATCTTCACGTAGATCACAGATGACACCCGTTGCCCTTGTCCATCTTGTGTCCAGGTTTGGGTGTCCTCAGTGACAGAAATCAGCCCAGAGGATCTAAGGGCGCAGGACCAGGACACACCCCCAGAGGAGCTCCAATTTATGGTGACCCCACCGAGCAACGGATACCTGGCCCTGAAGAGTGCCCCCATGAAGGCCGTGCTCAACTTCACCCAGGCATACATAGACCAAGGACAGCTGCTGTTTGTGCACAAAGGTAAAGTGTGTTCCCTGTTTTTTTTGTTTGTTTTAATAATCTAATGTAATAGTCTCATTTGATTTGAGTTGATTCTTACTTTGCATTTATACAAACAGAATAAAAACAGGCAGCAGAAATGAAACAGGTGGGAGAGGAGAGGTCAGGAAGCCACAGAGCTGTACAGTGGGCCTCCCCCTAAATTAAAAACCAAAGAGAACATTCCTCTGTTTGTGTGGAGATAGATATTGAATAAGAAAACATTATAGCAATATAAGTGGGGCTGGAGATAATTCAGTTCTAATCATTTATAAACTTTGACTTTATTTGTATTTACAGTCATATCATGTTCTCATTCTGTCATCCAAATTAATGATTCTAAGCAAACTGCAATTAAAAACGTCAATTAATATCTTAAATATAACCTGTAATTAATTGGTCCGGTTGTGGTCAGTGTTTCTTCTCCTGCACAATTTGGATTTAATGCAGTAAAGCCAAATGTAATTCAGCTCTGTTTTTATGATTCAAGATACCTTGTTGTTGTTGTTGTTGTTCCTTTTGTGTGAAGTCAAGTCAATTTTTATAGTGCCAAATCACAACAGATGTTATCTCAAGGCACATTTCCCACTGTTTGATTTGTCCTCTGCTCAATTCCCCCTGTCGCAGAAACAATGTGGAGCTTTCTTCAGTAGCTGTTAATTTACTTGCAGTACTGATACAGTTCAGACAGACTGGGCTGAAAGCCAAGCTGCAGGTGGTAATAGTCTGGAAATGTGATGTGAAACGATGGATAAGATCTGTCAAAATTTGATAGCGCCAGTCTCAGATCAGATTTCTGCTCACTCTCCTGATTCATATCTACTTTTTTCTTTGCCTGTACTTGTACCACGAGGAAAGGTTGTGATAGTAGTGTGTGTAAGGTACTCGCCCCACCCTGTATATTGAAGAATTTCTTTTTCACACACACACACACATTTACACACATCTACACCTGTATAGACAATTGATTTTGATTAAATAGCCCCTCATTGACTCAGAATACGAAGTTTTAGCTTGTGTTGCAGTTTTTTTCTTTTTTAGACCACCATCAGGAGTGCTGATCACCTATTTTTTTTTGTCCGTGTATTTTGCAGAAACCAGACACAGCTCATTTGTAAATTTGCTCCCGCCGAGAACAAAGAGACAACTTGTCCTCACAAAACTAAGATGCAGTTGTTCTTTATTCAATGCAGCAGTCAGAATCTAACAATGTTCCCTCAGAGACTTCTTGACAGTTTGATGTTGTTTTTCCTGTCATGTCCAGGTGCCATGTCTGGAGGATTCAACTTCCAAGTCAACGATGGTGTGAACTTCACCCCGAGGCAGATCTTCAGCATCACTGCCAGAGCCTTAGTCCTCAGTTTAGAGAAAAACCGTCCACTCAAGGTGTTTCCAGGTAAATCCTTCCCTCTGAATAGAGTCTGAATAGAGTCTGAATAGAGTAAATCCTTCCCTCTGAATAGAGAATAGAGCCTGGTGTTTTTTCTATAGTTTTATTATTGTCAGTAACGCATTGAAAAACTGTACTAGCTGATCTCTCAACATCTGTAGTCTTCTCTACTCTGTGTGCTGTACTCAGCCCTGAGACACAAAACTGTAAAGATGGGACACAAATAGATATTTAGTTTCATTTTTTTTTTCAAAGTTGAGTTGATTTCCTAGAATGAGATTGCAAGAATTTTTGTCATTTTGATTTCTTTTTTATAGTCTTTTAGTCATGATGAAACTACACAGCTACTTCCTTAAAGGAACTGAAACGAAATATTCTGTCTGTCACAGTCATCTGCTCACACAGACTCTTTTTAGTTGTATTGTATTAACCATAAGCAAAATATTGATTTCTCCTTTTTGTTTTTTTTTTGTGTGTGTGTTTGTGTGTGTGTGTGCGTGTGTGTGTGTATATACGTACATGCAGGTAATGGCTAAGGTTAGGGTAAGGGACTAGGGAATGCATTATATTAAGGGTGAGGGTTATATCAAAGCCGGGTCCCCACAAAGTCGCACATTTACATAAATAAGTCAGAAAACAGTTTGTTATGTTTTTTTGGTCGAGGAACCACATCACTTCACTTTGCAAGTTTGGATTAACCTCATCACACCACAGATGCTGCTGCTTGCTGTGCATTATGCCTGCAGTGGATGACCTAATCATATTATACTCAGCCTACATTATATATTTTTAACTGAAAACCCCATGTTTTATTGTGTTTGTTCTTCGTCTGTGATGTGAGGTAAAAGTGTGCATCCTGCTCATCATTCAGTTATAAAATCCCAGTGCACCAGCATCTCTCCTTGTTGAGTGCTCTCCCACTGACAGCGCTGTCAGCCGAGCACTCGGTCACACTGGATGACAGTAGAGGGGGATGTACCAGCGCCTGGTCTAAAAGCCTAGTTTAGCCGCCTTCATTGTGAACTGCATCACACTTCGATCATCCATTTGTTGTTAGGGTTTTTTATTTTAGGTGTTTTATTATTATATATTTATCACTGTCATCTCAGAGAACATCCAAGGTTTTTTCTCATAACATTTTCCTATGATTGGCCCCAATACACCATACTTTTCCAACAGCCAAGTCATTACATTACCCAAATACCAGACTGGTGATGTTTTAATATACAGGATGCCTCTTTTAAAACTCAGGAGCTAAAAATAGACTGACTGCCGTCTGTGTCTGCAAACACATCTGAGATCTTTTCTGAGATTTCCAGTGGTCCGGCTTGTGAGTTAGGAGGAAAGAATATTGTGAGGGCTGCAAACTGCCAACTGGCACGCTCTGCTGAGCTTCCCAGCCACAGGGTGAGTGTGTACTTGAAAAGCTGTGCCACTGTCTGTCTGAGGCAGCCCTGTTTGTGCTTTGTGCCAGGCGGGACAGGGAGAAGGGGGGCGGGATGGGAGCTTTAACTGACAATGAAGGGTTTTGATGGGGTGAGGGGTGACATGAAACACTTTAACACTGTGGTGGGGAGATTAATGTTTATCCTCTTCCTTGCAAAAATCCTCAAATGTCTGGGTGCTTTCTGTAAAACTGTGCAGACTCCTCACTAAATGGTTGCATATGCCTCATTAAGAAAACCAGTGTTTACCTGAAAGTGTTCTGACAGTGATTCATTGTGTTGTTGCCTGCAAGTACCACAAAAGTGATAGTATGAGGAGAAATTCTTCTTGAATACACAAATCTAATTATTACACAACAGCTGTGAAATATGAGTATAACAGTGCACATTTTCAGACAGTCTTACATGGAATATTCACAGTGTTGCACTTTGGTATAAACAGAGAAGTGACTGAAGTAGCTGTGTACTATGAAGAAAGAGAGCTAGAGAGAGAAGTTCAAACCAGCCAAATTTCTCACCAATTGAATAGCACTTCTGATGGAGTTTAGTGGTGTTTATATATATATATATATATATATATATGGTATGTATATATAAATATATATATAATAATATATATATATATATATATAAATAAATAAGTGATGATACTCTAATACTGAATTCTCTCACTTCTTTGTTGCTGTATTCACCTAAATCTGTCTCATCATTATCATTTTATGAATGTATTTTTATCCCATATGCCTAATATTTATGATGTATTGTTTTTGCAGTGATAAACATGTGTCACACGTTCGTCTTATTAACAACACAGGAGCTGGGGAAAAGTATTTTGGTCATGTTTTGATTTTACATCTCTAAGCATTCTACATGTCTATCTACTGCCATCAAGAACAGCTGCACAAACATATGACAATATACGAAAAGCCATCTCTGACAGATTTAGCACATGATAGGCTTTTGTGTAAAAAAAAAAACAAAAAAAAAACAAGAAAGCCCGTCTCCCCCTCTTCCTCTCAGAAGGAAATTTCCCATGAGACTGACAAGTCTCTTTCGTGGGAGTGCTCACGAAAAGTGATGAATGAATTTCACTGTGCTTCGACCCCCTCTTTCCCTCATCCTATCATTGCCTTCCATCATTCATTTATCAGCAGTCTTTTTTTAGTATTCTCACAATCTTCACTGTGGCAGAAAGGGTTATGGAGATCTATGTAGTTCATCTTACAAAGAAAAGAAGCTCTCAGTAGTGAGACCCTGTCATCATGCATAGAAGATGTTTCCCCTTAGGTTTTTCCCAAGTGGAAGATTTCTGCGCCTGTGAGGAGCTGATCCACTTTTAATTTCTTGTGTGGATTTTATGTAACACCCCGCACTGCAGTTGGACAGTGCTGTTAAAAAGTCTGTGATGTCTGCAGTGCAGCTTTAATTTGACACATCAAAGGAGTCTCATCAGTCTATTCCAGACCTTGCTTTGCATAATTTGGAGTCAAAAAGACGTGAAACGCCTCCAGAGGGAAAAACTTGCTACATTTGATGCAGCTACACAACAGTCTTAACAATGTGGTCAGAGCTAAACTGAATACCAGACAAGAAAGGCTGTTTTTCTTAACAGATACAGTTTCATGATCAATAATCCAAAACACGTCATCAGTCATTTTCTTAATTCAGTTTCATGTCTTTCCTCCAGGCTCCTCTGCACTAATCACAAATGAGGATTTACAAGCGGAGACCAATGACATTAGCAACACCTCCAATCGCATCATTACATTTAGTGTGATTCGGCATCCTAAGCTGGGGCGACTGGTGACAAGGCAGCCTGATAATTCAACAGTAGACATCTCCACTTTCACACAAGATATGGTGAGTGAAGAGCTGGTGGTATCAACACTTTTCTTTCAAGATATTTTAAAATAAAATACAAGGGATGTGAACCAGAGTAAGACTGAACATCAGGGTTCCTCCATTCATGTGGAAAGTTGCCAAATTTCCAGTATGAATAATAGATATTCTGCATCCTTATTCAGGAAATGGACTCTGTGCTTCTTGGGCTGAGTGGAACATGTTAGGCTTTTATGTAATCAGATATTTTTGATGGATTATTATCTGACAGTTAAAGCTTGAGCTTTGTGTGCTATATTTTACTGCTGAGCAAAGCAGATTTAAATTAATGATGAAATCTTGTACACATTGTAGAAATGTCTTTGAGAATGGTGAAGAATTATTGAGGCCAATGAGTTCTTTATATGTAGTAGATTAAACCATCAATTGATTTTAGGGATGATAATCTGCTGCTGTTGCACAAATGTATTGATGTGAAATTATTTTGGATCAAGCTTTCCTGAGGATTTATGGTGTTTCTGTACCTTAGGTGGACAGGAAAGAGGTTATGTACATTCAAACCCCCATTGAGTCAGTGGGCTGGGAAGCCATGGACTCCATGACCTTCTCTGTGGCATCACCGCCTGCTTCTCTGGACAGTCAGACCTTCAAAATAGACATTTCCTATGAGAATACTGGACCTGAACACAACACAGTCCTGCTCGCAAACACAGGTATGAAAAGAGTCTACAGCCATGCTAGCGGTTCTGTAAGGCTGTACTTAGACATAGCAGTGCTTTGAGCTGAATGTTAACATCAGCATGCTAACATGTACACAATAACAATACTAAAAAGAGTTTTGTAGACATCACCTGGGGCCACACTACTAGCATGGCTAAAAACCGCAGACTATGCTCTTGTTTATGTTGATTTATTGAAAAGAAAAAGTGTCTAACAATGTTATTTGTGGTGATTTACTTGGGGATAGGTGCGGCGGTAACAGAAGGGGAGAGTGTCATCATTGATGAGTCCAAGCTTGATGCCACTAACCTGATGTCCAAGCTGCCAACGCCTCAGCGGGGCTCCCATGAGGTCTGGTTTCAGGTAACATCCCTGCCTCAGCATGGCGTCATCATGGTGGGTGAGAGAAACCTCACCAAGGAGAAACCTAACTTCTCCCAGTTCATTATCCACAAATATGGTATCACCTACAAGCATGACAACTCGGAGACAACTTGTGATTCTTTTGCCTTCAGTGCATGGATAAATCCTAAGGGAAAAACAGCACAGCGCCCTCAAGATGATAGTGATGTTGTTGAGGAGCGTTTTAACATTACAGTCACACCGGTGAATGATCAGCCACCTTTGCTAAAAACCAAAGCTCCAAGTCTGAGGGTCGTACAAGGAGATACAGTTGTCCTCGGCCCTGAGAATCTCAAAGTTGAAGACTTAGACAATCCCCCTGATGACATTAAGTTCTCTGTGATTAGCAAGCCAAACAATGGTTACCTAGCTCTTGAAGGAAGTTTGAATCAGTCGATAGTGGCCTTCACCCAAGCCCAAATCAATAACAGAAGCATCTATTTCATCCATGATGGAAGCTCCGCCTCAGGGGTGTTCTACTTCAGTGTTACAGATGGTCATCATAAACCAATTTATAAACTCTTTAACCTGGAGGTGACAGAAATCACAATTTCTCTGGTCAACTACACTGGATTGACACTGGAACAGGGCAAGACTTCGGTATCACTGACCCAGGATAACCTTGCTGCTGTTACCAATGGGAAAAACGTCACCATTCACTACCAGATTACAAGGCCTCCAAACTTTGGCAAACTTCTGAAGGACAACGACAAAGAGGTTACACAGTTTGAACAGGAAGATCTACAGGCTGGAAGGTTGTCCTACCACATGATCTCCCTTTCCTCTGGAGGAGACAGCTTTGAGTTTACAGCCCTCACTTCGGAAGCAAATCTCACTGGCCGAGTGCTTAACATAACTGTCACACCTTTGATCAAGTTTGGCAAAGATGTGAGGATTCCCAATGGGATTGCAGTCAAACTCAGCGCTAGTTTTCTGAATGCCTCTGAACTCGCTAAAATTAGTAATAGTGACCCTGTATTTGAAATGATCTCCCACCCTAAGTATGGGAAGGTGGTTCAAACAAAACCTAAAATGTCCAGGAAAGCTGCACAAGCTGACTCCTTCACCTTTAAGGAGGTGATGCAGGAGAAGGTAGCCTTGGAGCTTAATGCCAATATGACTGGAGTTCAAGAGCTGAATGACTCATTGGTGTTTCTGCTGAAAGCTGATACCATCCAACCTGCTAAAGGGGAGTTCCACTTTACAGTTGTGCCATATGACCCAGCACTTTTTCCCACCACAAAGAGTCCTGTCCCAACCACATCATCTGTTACTCAGACACCAATCCAGACTTCCAGAAATGGAACTGCTTCACCATTCCTGTCTACAGCTTTCCTCTCCACCCAGCAACCAAGCAAAAACCAGCAAAAGTTCAAGGGACGCAACCGCTGGGGAAACTCCAACAGAACTAGCATTTTCAGTACAACACTCGGCAAACCAACACGTGGAACGGAGGATTTCCTCTTTAGGAACACACCAGTTCGTGTGGAATCCTACCCTCAAAAAACCTCCAATCCGCTCCTGGTGATCTTACCACTACTGGCCCTGCTGCTGCTTGTAATCATCTTTGTAGTCCTGGTTGTGTTTCTTCGACATCACAGGCAAAGGAAGCAGAGCACTACTGCACCAAAGGAGCCACCTTCCACTGGTCTTCCAAGCAGTGAGTCCTACCAAGGCCAAACCCAGAGGAGCACAACAGTTCCCTCAGTGACTGTCACTCCATTGAACCCCAACTGCCCGGGCAGCCCTGTTCTTGATCGATTACTGGTGTCAAATCATGGTACGGGTTATGACACCATTGATTCAAACATGCTCATAAGTTCCTGGAGCAATGGTTCCCCTGCAGCATCTTCCCAAATTATTAGAACCGCCACACCCACTCTTCAGAAGAATCAGTACTGGGTATGATCTTCCACAAACCGACTTATAGCTATATGTGTTGGAGATACTGTTACAGGTTTTGATAATGGATTAAATGTGGTTGAGTACCAAATGAGGCTGTAATTAACTATTTTATTAGCTTAAAGCTGCATAATCAATATTTATGTATTAATACTGACTCGAATTACCGTGTCATGTGTAAGGTTTCACTCATTGGGACAAACTCAGAATTATCACCCAACACAAAGTTCAACAAAGTGACAAACTAGCTAAGGAAGAAAGTCAAATATGTAGCAAACTAAAGACCAAGAGTTGTTGGAGACTAAATCAGAGCTAAAAGCTCCCCATATGGCTAGACAGAGACCTCAAATGGGACAATAATGTGCTGGAAGTGTAATAAGGCAATTGTTTGCTAACAATTTAAGCAACAACTTTATAAGGCCACAATACAGTTCATCAAGACAGTGCATCTATTTTGAGTTCTTGTGCCCCTTGTTGGCCAAATATTGATTCATGCAGCTTTAAGGATAGATAAAGGACAAAACCACTATGGCCAAAGTTATTTGGAATACATTAATAAGAGTCAGGACGACTTTGAGTTCTCTTTGAGTTGCACAATCCATTGAAACACTGGCTAACAATCCAACACCAATTACTGCAATAAGTTCAGCTGGTGGGACAGACTTTGGTCATTAAGCATTTACGAAGCAATCATCATTGTGGTAAATTATAACCTATGTTTGGTGCCTAATTTAATCAGTCACGTCGTTGTCTGGTCCTCATGCACATTGAAGTCTCTCCCATTATGGGTCATGGTCATCAGAGCGGGAGCTGATGCAACTGTGAATTACTAAGACTGACACTGGTACAAAGATGTATTGTCTAAGGATTTCAATTGATTGTTCAGATTTTATATTGTTGTTATGTATCATATATTACAGTATAACTTTTTGTAAACTCAGGTATTTTGTTAATAGTCATTTACTCCATGTTACCTTTAATGAGGGTTGCATGTCTTGTCAATAACAGGTTTTTGTTTTCACATTGCAGGATTTAATCTTATAAATTTGAGGGTTTTGTCGCAAATGCTTCCCACCATGGTTGTATATTGAAATGGTTTTGCACCACTATTAAAATATTTCTTTCTTTATAGCCCTGGTAAAATCACACTGGGTAAAACTGTTTTATAATTTGTTCTTTTTTTATTTTACTATGCACATTATTTATATATTTTATATTGTATTCCACCCACTTTCACCTCAGTGATTAAAATTCAAACTGCAGGTTCATTCTGTCATCATTTAACAGGTTCTCCTACAGTTGAATAGATAGTGGGTTCACCTACTTTAAGGGAGATTTAGCTGCTAAGCCTAAAACAATCTCATTAGTCTAGGAGAGGTAATGACTTTCTGAGGTGAGATATTAAATATTTGTCAACAGAACAAGTTGTCAGTCTCTTGCTTTTGAGCAGCAATTCAAGGAGTCCTTCTTTGAAAATACTGACAGGTGTTTCCCAGACAAATTACAAAAAACGGACAATTTCTTTGACTGAAATAACAGCTGGTATTTATGTTCATTATTTAACACTGACAAAACTGTATTACTTGTGTCCTTAGATTCTTGACATTATCTACTGTAGGCCTTGGCTGTCTGACACTGAAATGCTGTGTCTACTGTAATGAAAGGTACTTTTCTGACTTGTTCTGGCAAGCTAGGCAAGATAAGAAATTGCTGTCACTGAAAATCACTGTAAACTTGTATGTTATGGAATCATTTTGTACTGAACAGAAGTGTCTATCCAGTGTATCCCAGTGTCATATGAATGATGTAACCTATGTAACAAGTGTCATAGTTATTTATACCATATTTTTAATAAACCACTTTAAAATGTTTGGAAGGAATTACTGTCTGCTATCCTACAGTAGGAAAATCATACCTTGTAAGTGTGTATAATCTGTGCGGTCTTTTTTACTTAGTGTCTACCCAATTCTCCTCAAACAAGATTTATAGGCATCCAAATTATCCCTTATTTCTTCCAGTTAAATTAGTTTTTGGCAGTTTTCTCTTTCTCTATAATTTAAACTGTACTTGCAGCCTCTTGCCCTCCTCTTAATGGCGCTTTAATCATTTCAGCAAAAGATACATTGCACCGGAGGACCAGTTAGAAAAAGATAAATTATCATCATCACTTCTCCCAGTTTCCTGCAATTACTCTAATTGTGGTTTTCTCACATCCAAAAACAATAAAATCTGAAGGATTTCTCACATGATCTGCACCAAGGTGTTGTGTGTTCTCCATCGGAAATGTTTTGTTGCCAAGGCAAATGTTCTCTAAGCATCTCAGATGGTACCCAGACGATAAACATGTAATGTGATTTAGACAAACACAAGGACCTTTTTCTGAAGCTGAAGCTTCAGTCACTGCTGAGTCAGTCCACATGACCCATGGTATCATACAAAGAGCATCTGTTTTCCTAATGCCAAAATTCTTGGGACTTTAGGATGTCTGTCACGTGTGGACAGGTCTTAAAGATTACAGTAAACTCATAAAGAAAGAATAAAGAACTGTTTCATCCAAAGTTGCATCCAGCTCAAAACGTGTACACAAGCAGTGCCGTAGTGCTGAATAGTCTTGTTGACAGAGAATGAGCTAATAGGGGTGGTGAGCAATGGCATCACATGTGAGCTGCAAACTTAGCACAATGATATTAAGCCACAGAGTCCACCAACAGGAACTTCATTGGGATCCTGTTGTAAACCACAACATTGTCATTTATTAAAAGGAAATTTCAGCACAACTTGGGACAGACATCACCAAACTGTTTATCATCAGCACAGGAGTGTGCAGTCAGCACTCTGACAACAGACCGCCACAACCTCCGCAACAAACATACAGGAAGATATAAATATAGACACTGACACAGTTAAGCAAAGTTTAAAAAAAAGTTAAACAATGATAAAAAGCCAACCTCTTGAATTCCTAGTGTTTTTATTGGTTACCATCTACATAGCTTACTGTTTCAAACATAATATATAAATCACGACTAAAAAGAAAGAACAAACCTACTGAGCATAGTTAGTTACGCATAAGCAAAAACACAGATTAACAAAAGTAACGATTCTTTGGACAATATGATAAAGCTGACAGAGCGGTAACAGACCACAGGCAGTGCTGAAGAGGTTAGTACACATTAAAAATAGGATGAATAGACCACATTTGATAATGTATAACCAAGTACTATGCATTTATGGCGTTTGTTTTTGTACCTTTAAATGGATATAAATAAATGTGTTGACATACAGCTCATTAGAAAAGTATAAAAGTTATAAATACACTGTGTAATATGAGGCCTTTCAGAGGTTTGGTGTGCTTGCAGTTTTATTACATTTGTGAAGAGCATCAGTTGTTTTTAACAGCCTGTGGTGAACCGTCGCATCCAGGAATAAAGTGTCTAATCCTGAACAAATTAACTTCATTCTTGAATATGCTCTAAAAAAAAAAAAAGGAACCACAGCCCAACCATTAGCAAGATCCTCAAACTATTACTGTATGTGATGACATAATATTTACACCATGTCTTTCTCAGTATCAGCTGTTTGCATGTGTTTACCCTGGACACAGGAAGAAGTTCGTTTTGTGCAGCAAACTAAACACACTTCAAATAAAGACTGAATGCAAGGAGCTGGCCACTGAACGTTTCACTAGTGGCAAAGCTGGGAAAATGGTGCTGGATTCAATGGAAGTGATTCAGAAAAATATGAGACATCATAAACAGCTAGACCACATGGCATCGTAAAAATGAATCACTACAACAGCAACAAGGAAAATGGATTTACAAAAGACACAGTGTCCCAAATTCATAATACATGATAATTCTGTACTATATGATAACCGTCATAGTATATTATTTTGGAGGTTAGTACACAAAAATATCATACTTAACCATTGAACCCTAACATCAAATAACACAATACAGTATGTGTGATGTCAGATGTGAATCAAACTGAAATTTCACAAAGAGACATCAAAACGTTTTTCCTAAGATTTTTATTTCATTTTATTCTATTTAATTTTTTTTGGTCAGACTTTTTCTTTCAGAACCAGAGGTGCCCGATATAGCTTCTTCCACTTTGCTTTTTCACTCTTTTCACTTTGAACTCAATAAGAATACCTACAGATAATAAGATAGATACAGATTCCTGTCAAGTTAAACTTGTATATAACCATACTAGTGGTTGCTGCAAGCAACGGGATGTTCAACTGAAACAGGTGGTAGAAAAAGACCTATTCATGGGTAAAGGTAGCTCAGCTAAATTACCACAGTGAAGACAGTGCTGATGTGGTGTCTTTCTGGTCGAGTTTCAGATCTTTGAATCTTCCAGCATTTACAGTTTTGGTGTTGTGCTCATTGACATCTGTTTGCCAGGAGTCTTGTTATAGTTTTAATTTCTCAGAAAGTTTAAGAGACACAAGTGAGAGGTATTTTCTCAGGCTTTAGGTGATTTAGATCATAAAGTTCCTCATTCACATACAAACACGCTCACACATGCATATACACACATAAACAATCATATACAGACAGACTTGTAATTCAGCTTTTCTGTACTTTGAATCCAAACCACGTTCCAACCTCAGTCCCCAAGCTGCGAAACCAAGATTGTTTTGACGGGTCAAAAACAACTTTGCTTGAGTACTTTCATCACGACAGGAGTAGAAAGGAAATCATGTGTACATATCTGCGTACAAACACACACACACACACACTCTTGGTGAGACCACCCACAACTGTTATAACATAGTGAGATTGCCTGTTTGTGTTTAGGAATGTTGACGATGTGACTGACTGAACTAAGATTATCCAGAGACTACAACAAGCCGGCTCACACTCTATTTATTGCCTGAAAACATCCGAGAGACGCATGGTTTGTTTTGGATGTCATGTCTTTTGTCTGGTGGAACACAACAAGCTATAAAAAAAAGGGCGGATACTGAGAGCAAAAGCACATTAAATACCAATTTAATGGTCAGATTTACGCTGTTATATTACATGGTGACTTCATGGTGACATTGGTATTGAGACGAATCATATGGGTTTTTGTTACATTAATAATGAAATCATCATTAGCAGTACTACTGCTTCACTGTAAACAGCCTGAGTCACACAATGAATGTCAAAAAATGATGTCAGGGTTTCAGGAAAGGCTGATTTTACTGATTTGGACCGTTTGGAGTGAAGCTAAAGTTACAATGTGTAAGCAATAAGAGGCTTCGCACACACAGATTCAAGTCATGCCTGCTGTTCTGTTAGACTGTATTTTAGCTCGGCAGGGCTTTCAGCTAAATGCTAATGTCAGTGTGCTAGCACATCCTTATGTTTAGCAGGGATATTGCTTACCATGCTCACCATCTTAGTTTAGCATATTAGCATGCTAACATTCGCCATTTAAGACTAAACACAAAAGTACAGCTGAGGCTAATGGGAATGTCATTTGTTTTACAGGTACCAAATGTTGCGATATCTCACAGGACAAGTGAACATTTTGATCTGCTGGTGGCAGGTCAAAATATCAAGAGATCACAGAAGTCTCATCAGAGTTCATCCTCTGGACATCATGAATATTTGAACTGCATTTCATGGCAATCTATGCAATAGTCAGGATGTTTCAGTCCAGGCCTAAGTGGTGGACGGATAGATAAACCAACATTGCCATGCTCAAAGCCATGATGCTAGTGTAGCTGAAAACCTCGCAGGATCAAGGAAACTACTGATTACACATTACATCATATTGTAACGTGCAACTGTGTTAGTGCTAATCTTTGAGAAGTGCAACAACACTGATATAACATGTCTTCTCCTACACAGGTCTGCAGTAGAATCCATTATCAGTTTGACCTTTTACCATCATCAGTTCAAGACATCTTACATCTGTTATGACTGCTCCAGCAGATGCAATGACATGATGCTATTACATATTTTCATTACAAAGGTAAATTTATCATAAGAGTAAATCATGCTCATCCAAACTGGCACAAAACTAGTTCTCAATCCAAGCATGTTGGACTCATACGTGCACACAAGCATGAGCAGGAGTCAAATTATAGTCTCAAAAAGAGGAAGCTAGTGCGGAGAAAACGCTGACATCATGGTATGTGGAGTTACAAAATGTGGATGTCTGGCAGGAAACGATCACATGTTGGACACTCACAGCAGTCAGGGTTTAAATTCCCATTACCCCAGCTGTTTCCAGTGTTAAACAATCAAGGTGTTAGCTGTACGGTTTTCAGTCTAAATTACAACACTGAGATTTAAAAGTGAGCTAATGTCGGTCATATTACAGCTAATACATTGTCCCGTTGTATGTGAGACAAAATTGAGATAGTGAGGGATAATTAGTCAAGATGAGTTCCTGCCCTCATATATTAGATCTCAGATTGATCATTGTAATTTAAAGGGGTGGTAATTGTGGGGCAGAGGGTTAAAGAACAATAGCGCCCTGCAAGACAAGGCTACGAGAGACAAAGCAGTCTTGGCTCATTTGGTTTAATAAGGTTCCACACAGGCAAACCCAGATGGCTAATTGAATCACTCCTACCTCCAGTTGTATTTTACAGACAAAGACTACGTTTCGGTTCTACAAAGACTCTACTTTTCTCTCTTTCACATTTGCAATACTATCAATGTCTGTGTGCTGAAAAATCTGCTGACATATCATCCGCAAAGTGTCATTTCGTTTATTCATAAAAGCTAATCAAGGCACGTAAAATACTGCAAAGGGTTTCAGAATCTAACATGTCGGTGCTGAAAGCCACGTTGGTTGCCTTTAAGGAGGAGAAAGCACAGTTGCGCAAATGATGAAGTAAAACAAAAAGC